AGGAGAGAAAGGAGGCTATGACATCTCCCCACAGCTGAGTTTCCAGCAAGCCAGGGCCCCCAGGGGAGGATGGTCCATCTGCAACCCAAACAACTAAACCTCCCTCGCAGCCAGTGTGGGGTCAAAAGGTGTCTGCCTGGAGGTTGGCCTCTGAGGGAGCGACCTAGGTGCTCCCTGCTCAGGGGCAGGAATATGCCTCCCACTGCTCAGTTCTCAGGATGTTACCTCCTTGCCCCGGCAAGGCCTCCTTCTAGAAGGAGGAACTCTCCACTGGACAGTACAGGTGAGGTTGGCTCAGGTAGGCAAAGAAGCCTTCCCAAATAAAAAATAGGATGGGGTCATTAATTCACTCCCCTGCTCTAAACCCTTCCGTGGCTCCCTATTTCCCACCACAACCACCTTACCTGCAGCTATCTTTACCCAGTCCAGACCAAGGTCATCTAAGATTTACTGGGGTTGTATGCAAAAGGGACAGAAGCAGACTTTTGGCCAGTTTACAGGAATGGGCAGGTCACACACTGATCCGGCTGGCGACTTCCAGAGAATGTTTGCCCTAGAGCAGCACTGAACATAGCACAGGGCTGGAACAACTCAAGTGGCCTAGGGAAGAGAAAATGAGGTGTGTCTTTGTCTTGGAGAGCTCCACAGTGGAGCTCCACATGGTAGTGAGGAAGCCCAAGAGGGCCCAACATACACTGTCACAGAAGTGCCACATGCCAGATGCATGCACTTGTTTAAACACCTGACTGCTGTGTGACCAAGACAGTGTCATCAGGAACATCTGAGGACTAGCCACAGGGAGCAGGAGACCCTGCAGGCCGCTCTGTGCTGTGCATTCTGCACTTCTAACCTGCATCCTCTTCCTCTAGTCACTGGCTTTACAACTCTGAGCAGGTCCCAGGGAGCGTTCCCAAAGGGCTGCAGGTGCTAAGTATGCGGCACTCTGGGCAACATCAGGCTGGGAAGCAAGGACGGTGCTAAGCACCATCATGTGCAGGCCAGGTGCTTATTGTCGGAGGCTCCTAGATTTTGCTGGGGAGGGGAGTCTCCTGCTGGGTGGCTCAGGGTTGTAGCAGCCAGGAAGACAGGATGGACACAGCCTATCTGAGGCTGGCTCATGCCTTTCTTTAGGCTCTAGCCAGGTTCTTCCTGTGGCTTCTGTGTCATGGGAAACAAAGCTGGACCCATCTGTTTTTGGAAACAAGGTCTCATCCTGTAGTTCAGGTTGGTCTTGGACTTACTATGTACTCAAAGTTAGCCTCAAACTTGCAGTGATCCTCTTGCCTCAATATTCTGGGTACTGGGATTATAGGCATGCACCACTGCACCTGGTATCTAGACCCATCTGCAGGCCAGTACCATGAACACAATCAAACAAGGCCCTTAGAGAAGCAGGGCCCAAGCAGCCAGGCAATTTGAGTACAGCAGGAGGCTTTTTGTTTATTTGGGTTTTGTTTGTTTTTGTTTTTAATGGTACCTCGAAATTAGGGCCTCATGCTTGCCAGGCAGGCGCTGAACTGCTGAGCTACATCACCAGCCACAACTGGAGGTATCTGAGAGGATTGGAACTCCAAGAAGTTGGTAGTCTAGGCTGGAAATGGGCTTCTGAACTCCTAGCTCAGGTTCATCCATTCTGCATTTAGTCTCAAAAACTTATAATTATCAGCGGCCCTGAGCACATCCTGCCAGCAAGACAGATTCATATCCTTAAGGTCCCTCAGCAGAGGTGGTCTCCATTAGGTAAGAAAACCTATAAAGGAACAGAGAGGCACCCAGGAGCTGTGGGGCTGAGCAGGAGCCCAGGCTGGCTGCTCTCTGCAGTGCTGCAGATGCCACAAGGTAACGCAAGAGGAAAAGCCAGGCCAAAGGCAAGTGGGCAGCAGAACCTGCAGAAGCCCTGTGGTGAGAGCAGGGTAGAGGTGACCGGGAACTGCAGCAGCAGGTGGGTGGGGCCACGTGGCATGTGAAAGGCAGTTTCTTTTGTTGTTGTTTTTGTTGTTGTTGGTCTTTATTTTATTATTTACTTAAAATATATAGCAATTATTAAAATATTTACATAAAGGACACAAATGTTAGAAAGGTATTTTAGTAACAAATCCCATAAAGAGATACAACTATTAATCTGCTTTAACTGAAATCATTGCTGCTTCTTCAGAGCAAATGGCAGTCACTCTTGTGACTGTAGAGGCCTGGACTAGCAGGCCAATGAGCACAGAGCTGTGCAGTCCAGAGAGAGGGGTGGGAGGAAGCTTGCAGTGGGGCGCGAGTATCCGGGGAGCTGGTCCTGGGCAGATCCAGCCTGTGCTGGCAGACTGATCATGAAGATGTTGAAAACCATCCAGGATGATTCCTTGGCTTCCAGCTCGAGCAAGTTCCCTTCCTAAGACAAGGCTGGGCAGACAGTCAGAGCTGAGCTGAGCCACAAAGCAATTCCCAGGGACAGGACCCACAGAGCCTGCAGGAGGGCTCAGGTCACAAGAGCTGGCCTTGCTTTATTACAGCCTCGGACTCCTCAACTGATGAGGGATTTTGGAGGAGGATTTTCTTTTCTTTTTTTTTTTTTTTTTTGCTAGTTCAGGCTGCCTTAAGGGCAGGTCTGGTGCAGCTTGTGGAGCTGGGGAATCAAACCTCAGTCCCCTGCACCTGACTGCATTTGACCAAGCAGGCTTTAAACAACTGAGCTATCTAGCAAAGCCCCCTCTCCTCAACTGATGAACTGGGCTCAAGTGTTCCCTTGGGGAAGCTGCTGGCATTACTGGGCCCCAGTGAGATCCCAGTATGCCCAGCACAGTGGTGGCAGCAATCTGTGGCAGCAGGTGGGTGGGGCCACATGGCATGTGAAAGGCCTGGACTAGTTTGGAGGTCTGAACTAGATGGCCAATGAGGACAGAGCTGTGTAGTCCAGAGAGAAGGGGGGCAGGGAGGCTTGCAGTGGGGCACGAGTATCTGGGGAGCAGGCCAGTGTTTCCACATAGTCTCCTGATCTGGCCCAGCTAAGCAGTGCCATGAAGCTGTGGCACTCTACCCATTTCTCTTGAGGCATGCTCAGCCCAGAAATGGGTCTCTCATCCTCTCCAGCTCTCTGCATCTCTCACCAACACTGCTTCTGTGAGTTCCCAATTTGCCAGCAGCCCCAGCCCCAGCCCCAGCCTCCTCAGCTGCTGAGGGTCTAGAGGACCCATGCCTCTATTTGGAACAGCCTGATATCCCACCTCTATAGGGATAGTTGACAGGTGGCCTCCCAGCTGGCATGGCTAGAAAAGGCCCATACCCCTCTCCTACTCAAGAGTCTAGCCAGGTGCCACTGGCACTGCCCCAATCCTCCAGCCTAAAACGATCAGGTCTTTCCTCAGAGTGCTATGACATCCTGGACATATCAGTGCTTCCTACCAAGCCTTACTTTCTTCATCTACACAATGGGACATATGTGAGAATGCTCCCAAGGCTGGGCAGTCCAACAGCTCTGGTGATGACCATGAGGCACTGAGAGCCATGTCCTTGCCTGTCCTAGGATGAATGACACCTCTGGGCAAGAGTCTTTGTGTTCCAGCTCAGGCCAGGTGCAGGCCAGGTGCCAAGAGACTGCTGCCTCTGAGGACCAAGACCCTTGAGACACCTTCCTGGCTTGGAGACGGCATGCAACCCCAGGCCAAGAGGCAAAGAGGCACAGACCACAAGCCAAGGTCCAGCAGTGAGGCTGACCACATAGAGCCCTTCTCCTACCCCACCACACATTTTGCTCTGAGAAGGGACAAGTGCAGATGCTGATGACAGAGAGAATGCCCTGGTTGTGGAAGAGAAGCCTGAGCCATGTCCTCACTTCATCTGAGTGAGTTTTGCCTGTCACCCCTGTCCCTCAACCCCTACCAGCTTCCCCCCACCAGGTACTGGGCACTGAGCATCAAGGTCACTTCAGATGTGCATCCTAGACCTGCTGAACCAGGTAGGCTGAGAACAGTGGGGAGGGCCACACCACCCACACAGGCCTTATCCAAGGCAGCAGCTGCAAAACAGCCCCCAGTGTCCAGCTCCCTGGAGAGTGCACAGGGCCACCAGAGACTCTAAACTACCTATATAGGATTCGCTGGGCCACTTCCTTATGTTTTTGTGGTTTTGCAACACTGAAAGTAGAACTCAGGGATTTTGCACTGAACTAGATCCCCAACCCTTTTTATTTTTTATTTTGAAACAGGGTCTTGCTAAGTTGTCCATGTTGGGCTTGAACTTGACTTCCTCCTGCTTCAGTCTCACAAGAGTTCTGGGATTACGGGTATGCATCCTATATCTGGCCACTTCTTCATTTGGATCACATTCAGCCTATGAGCTATCACAGTAGCTTAAACAGAATTGGGATTAGGGAGAGACTGGAACAGTGACAAGGACCTGAGGTGCAGAGAGAGCCAGAGCCACAGTGAGCTCCACCAATGTCTGACAACTCCATGTCACTATCTTCCCTGTGCAGCAGCAGGGATGCAGAGCCTGGTCTGGCCTGGCCTGGCCTTTATCAACAGATCCAGTCATCACTCTGATCTTTTTCATTGCTGGCAGGAAGGTAACAGTACCAAGACCACAGAAGGACAAACTGATTTTTAGACACTGGTCCAAGCTTGAGCCCCTAGACCTCGGCTTGGGGAGTCCACGGCTATGAAGAACTCCCAACCACGACATCTGCCCCCTGTCCTGGCACTTCTTAGAGAAGACTCTGGGTATGTGAGAACAAGGGCTACTGAGGTAATGTCTCCTCTGCTCCTCCATCCCCCACCCCTTGTCCAATAGAACCGTCACATTCATTGTTCCCTTTCTGAGGTCACTAGGACTCCACTGCTGACACAGGAGTCAGGGGTCTTGCTATGGTAGGAGGGCTCTGAGAACAGAGTTCACCGTGCATCGAGACACTGTGCTCCCGACATTCTAATGGACCCAACACAGCCATTTGTGTCCAAGCTGTGCATTCTCACAGTGACAACAGCCTGCCTGAGCAGGCCAGTCTGGGGGCTTACCAGTGTGAGCGTAGGACATTCAGCAGCAAGATGACACCACCCAGAGAGTAGCAGGCGAGGTGCGGGGATCTGAAGGCGTGGCTCAGTTTGCGGGTTCTATGCTCCCATCTTGCAACCTGCACCCAGAACAGAGAAGATAGTGAGATGTTAGGCATGTGGGAGAGTCAAGGCAGCGTGAGGGGAGCCACTCTGTCCCCAGGATCAAGCCCCAGTGACAAGGACAAACCACATGGGACACCTGCTGTGTCACCAGCAGCAGCCAGATTCACTTCCAAGGATTTGTAGGGACTTCCACATCTCCTAGTCCAGTTTGGATGGACCAGGGCCTGTGGGAAGTAAGTGCCAACCAAATAACCACAAGCTCTTGGAGGAGGATGGTTCTAAGTCAGCGATGGTGAACCTTTTAGACACCAAGTGCCCAAACTGCAATCCCAAATTAAACACTGCAATTAAACTGAGTTCAGCAGGGCCAGAGAGATAGTTGAGTGGACTAAGCGCCTGGTTAGGCAAGCACAAGGACCAGGATTCGATCCCCATTACTGTGCCAGCTTCATCCCGGGCATACTGAGCTGGCCACAGGGTCCAGGCAGGCACATCTGTAGTTTCAGTGCTGGGGAGGCTGAAAACAGGAGGATCGCTAGGAGTCTGAGCTGTATACTGAGACCCTTACCAAATACATAAAAATAAATAAATAAACCTGAGTTCTGTGCTTTTAGTTTATATTAAAAAAAAAACAAAAAAAAAAAAACCTCACAAATTTTGTGACATCCTTGCAGAGAGGGCTGTGTGCTCAAAGCAGTACACGTGCTACAGGTTCATCACTCCCGTGCTACAACAATACACGAAGTCATTCCAGAAGTTAAAAAGGTCCCTTCACACAAAAAGGCCCAGCAGCCACGAAGCAGGAAGTGAGGAGCACAAAGGAAGGCCGGGGGCATGGCTGGCTTCACAAGTGCAGCCAGGTCCAGACCTGCTCCTGCCACCACTGGGGAGAGCCAGTGTCCAAACCAGGGCCAAAACTAAAGAAGGAAAGCCGGTCAACCCCACCAGTGCCCCTCTAAGCCCTTCTCCAAGGCACAAACTTCCAAAATATGTAACTTTTAGACACAGCCTTTTATTTTTAATCATGTTGTGACTTTCCTATCCAGAAGCTAGCAGTGGAGAGGAGCAGGCAGGGGGCCCTCAGGCCTCTCCAGTAGCTCCCTGGCCCCTGGGGGCTCCACTATGATACCTATCCCAGTGCACAAATGGATGCATAGGCCAAAGAAAGGAGATGGAGGCCAGGCCAAAGGGGTGCAGAATGGCAAAGGCAGTCTGGGGTTCTAATGACATGAGCAGGTCACTTTGTCAGCTCTGAAAATGAATTTGTATCTACGGGTGTGTGCATATGGAGATGGTCCCCCACTTACAGTGTGCTTTGACTTAAAAATCCCCAACTTTCTGATAGTACAAAAGAAATATGTTTTCAGTATTTGTACTTTCGATTTTGAAGTTGGCCTTTTCCTGGGCCAGAGTTATGGAGCACACACCTCTCTCATGATGCTGGGTGCAGGCCACAGCCCTGGGTCAGCCCTGAGATCACAAGGGCAAACGCTGAGCCTCTGCACTGGACTACATGGCCAGACTTTTGTAGACACTAGTATTCAGTACATGAACTGTTCAACATTTGATGATGCTTTGTTGGATGAGTCTGCCCGACTGTGGGCAAAGATGAAAGACACAAGCATGTTTAAGGCAGGCAAGGTTGGGCTGTGATGTCAGTAGATCAACGGTATTAAATGCACGGACTTACAGTATTTTCAATTTACAATGTGTTTATTAGGGTGTGCCTCCTTTGTATTAGAGGAGCATCTGTTAGGAAGAATCATGAAGGCTTCTGCAAGTGCTGAGACAAGAGTCCTGGGAACATCAGGGCCAGAGGGGCCATTTGTCACTATCCCAATCCCCAGTGCTCTATGTGGAACCCAACCCTGTTTCCCTGATGGACCTGCCTTTCCCAGAGGTTAACAACTACCGAGTAATCACTGGTTCCAGGACCCACAGAAGCTCTGGCCCAAGGCCACTGACTTTATCTCCCAGGAAGCAGCCACTGAACAAGTCCCAGTGCCCACCTCAGCCTGTCCTCAGCATTTCTGGGAAGTGGCACTAAGGGAAGGGTGAGTCAGGGGTGCTATAGAAAAGAGGGCAAGGGAGGAACTCCTTCGTGGGCCTTTTCCTCAGCCAGCTGTTGGCACAGCTGCCAGCTCTCCTGGAAAGTAAACAGCTCTTTGACCTCTTCGGGCAGGTGGCCTCCGTGGACTGTGGGCCAAGTGGGAAGCTCATCTTTTCTCAGCAGAAGAAAGAGAAGAGCTGGAAGAGCCAGGAAGGTGCAGGATGCTGAAGGTTAGGCAGGGGTCCACACAGTCCAGCCTACAAGGGGCACCATCAGGCCCAGGGCCATAGACATCATACTACTAAGGGTCATTTCATACTTTTAAAACTTTTTTTTTCTTTTTTTTTTTGCTCTGAATGCCTTCAAGGCATGACTGGCTGGCTTGAGTTGTGGGGATCGAACCACAGCAACCTGAGCCTGATGGCTTTGTTGAAGCAGCCACTTAAAGAACTGAGCTAAGGGGCAGGCCCCCTTTCAAAACTTTTTAACATTTAACTCAAAATGATTTTTTTTTTCTTTTTGAGACAGGGACTCACTATGCAGTTCATGCTGGACGTGAACTCACTACGTAAGCAGGCTGGCTTTGAATTCGAAAATGAGGATCCTCTTGCCTCAGCCTCCAAAGTGCTGGTCTTACAGGCATGCGCCACCACGCCCAGCTAAAACTCAAAATGATTTTTAGTTGTGTGACTATGACCATGACCTCATCCCAGAATATATATTTCTCTCACCCCAAAGAGAACACTGTTCTCATCAGTAGCCACATCCCATTTCTACTCCCCGCCTCTGGCAACCCCCAGTAGGCTGTTCCTATGGATTTGCTATTCTGGAATGTTTCATAAACAAAATCATACAATATGTGGTCTTTGTATCTGGCTTCCTGCCCTTTGTATTATGTTTTCAAGATTCATCCATGTAGGGGCCGGGGAGATGGCTCAGTAGAATAAGCGCTTCCCTGGCAAGCGCAAGGGTCTGAGTTCAATCCCCGGTTCAGGAAAAAAAAAAAAAAAATTCATCCATGTAATAGCATAAATGTACTTCATATTCCTTTTCGTGGCTGATTATGATTCTATTATATAAAGATATCACATTTTGTTCCAATCAGCTGCCAAGGGACATTTGTGTTTATACTTTCTGGCTAGTATGGGTAATGCTGCTGTGAACCCTCATGTGCAAGTTTTGTGCAGACATGTGTTTTTGTGTCTCCTGAGTATATACATAGGAATGGAATTGCTAGGTCATAGGCTAAATGTTTTTAATTTACTGAGAAACTGCCAAAGGTTTTCCACAGTAGCTATGCCATTTGACAAGGCACAAGGAGTCTGGTTTCTCCACACGCTCTCTCACACCTATTTTCCACTTTTTAAAATCTTAAGTGGCACTTATGGCTTTCATTTGCCTTTCTCCATTACCTAATGAGGTTAAGGATATTTTCATGTGCTCATTGCCACTTATATCCTTTCTTTGGAGAAATACCTTTGGAGAAGGAAATGTCCTGTGCTCATTTAAAAACCAGGTTTATTATCTTCTTATTGTTAAATCACATTCTTCATGTATTCTAGGTATTCAAGTTTATAAGATACACGATTTATAATCATGTTCTATCATTCTATGCATTTTTCTCTTTGATGCAAAAGCTTTTTATTTTTTATTTTATTTTTTCTGTATTTAAGACAGGGTCCACAGGGTGTACAGGGTCTCACGACGTAGAATGGACTCATAGTGATCCTCCTGTTTTCAGCCTCCCAAGCACTGGGATCACAGGCGTGTGCTACCACGCCCACTCTCAATCGCCATCTCAGCGTGCCCCATGGGTGAGGCCAGCCCAGCACGCCAGGGATTGAACCTGGGCTGCTGAGCTCTGCCCAAGCAGGTGCTTTGGTCTGCTGAGCTAATCAGGCTGGCCCAAGCTTTTTATTTTTACATGCCACTTTAAGATTCAACCCGAATCAACCAAGCTTGTCCTAGTGCCTACTAAGGTGTGCTGCCATCACTGCCGAGGGCTGCTGAGACTCTGAAAATGCAGCACAGGCAGCCAGGCAGACTGGCTCTGCCCAGGAGTGGTGTCAGAGTGGCTTGTGGGGTTCCTGCTGGAGAGCCCTGGGAGACAAAACTGCCCTCCCAAGCAGCAGAGAGAACCTCCTGTGATCATGCTTGACCTTCAGAGTCCACTAAGGTTTCCCTTCCAGCTGATGAAGTAATACTTTCAGGACAATGAAAATACCTGTACCTGAGGGGTGCTGACCCTCCTTCCTAGCAGGCAACGTCAGAGTGAAGTCAGGGCCTGGGGCCCCCCCTCTGCCCAATTTATCCTCAGGACCATTTCCCATCTGCAGAGTGAGGAATGCAGGGCTTGCGGTCTGAGATGCTCACATTCCATCTCCTGGAATATGACTTCATCTGTTCAGAAACCCAGCACAAAGACCAGGCGTGTGCCTCAGGGTGTGCATTTGCCTAGCATGTAAAAGGCCTTGGATTCAATCCCAGGCCCCAAAACAAAGAAGCTGAGTACCTGCTGAGAGGAACAGAAAACCAAGCATTGTTCACCTGCATTTGGGGGCTGAGGTTGAGGGGGAAGGAAAGGCTGGGGAGGACTTGTAGAGGATGGAGATATTCAAAGTCTTGGTTGGGGTCAGGGCGACAAAGACGCAGACATCTCTCAAGAGTGAACAACTATACATTTAAAATGCATGCATCGTAACGCAGTATAATCCCTGGCCACTCTGACCCTGCCTGGCTGTAATTCAACCACTGTTATTTCAAGGCAATCAATAAACCAGCAGCCAGCTCAACACCCTGAATCTGAGGGTAATTTCCCTCCCTGCCTGACAGTTCCACTGTCCTCTGCGGGCACCCGGCTGCACACTTCGTCCAATTAAGCAGCCGGAAGCTGGTTGCAAGTGCAATGCCAGGGTGGCTGCAAGGGGCCAGGCACGGGTGACGCAAGTGCCCTCAGTGCAGTGG